TTCTTACGTCGTGTTTCATTACGCGAGTCACGTCTATCATCGTCTGTCGGAGCACTCTTTCACTATCGTGTATTGTGCTCTGTGTTGCGTCTTGCTCCTGTGACTGTGTGTGAGAAGAGGGGATAGATGAATGTATGCACTAGAAGACGGATAAAATAAATCATGGACTTAAATCAGTGCAACAGGACGCTAAAATATAACATAAAGTTATAAGAAGAAATTACGTAATTTCCTTTGCTTTCACTTAGTCAGTATCTGTGGTGAGATTAGAATGAATGGAATATAAATAATAGCTGGTAAAATAAAGCTGAGCCGGTCACGGTAGCCCAGCGGTCTAACGCATGTACTGTATTCGCTCGCTTGGAAACCGGGATCGTTGGTTCGAATCCCACTCAGGACATGGATGTATAGTTTGTGTGTGTGTGTGTTTCTGTGTTTGTGTACAGGTAGAGGCCTAGCGACGAGGTGATCACCCGCCCAAAGAGTCCTACTGAATGTGTAAGATCTAGAAAAACCGAAGTGAACGGAGAAGTTCATGGAGGTAGGCCTAGGCCCACTGGGACTGCAGTGCCGAGGGGGGTGGGGGGGAAGGTCCCTGTGCATAACTAATTATGCAACGAGTCGTTGTTTACATTCCCTACAGTACAGAAAATACTTAGTGAGATGAGGCACTGATTAATATTATAATTCACTTTACTACATCTACATTACGAGCCTCATGCACAATTTTATATACGCATAAGTATGAATATTCCAACTTGTCCGTGGGAACGAAAGAAGAAACAAATCACAAACCAACGACTGACACGTTGATATAAAAACATCAAAAGAATTTTATTCTTATTTTATATCATACTTCTGTTTTATATAACTTGATTTATTGTATTTTTTACGTCAAGTGTTTTTATATATTTTAATAATATTGTATCCAATTTTGTTGGTGCTGCTGTTCAGTGGTGTGTATATGTGTGTAAATCATGTCTTTGCCTGATGATGGCTATCAATAGCCGAAACGTAGCAGGGCCGAAAATGGTCTGATCTTGATATTAGTTGTGTTGTGACGGATATAATAAAGAGGTTATAACTAATTAAGCACTACGCCATGAAGACGTATGGGAGAGTGGTTGTAAAGATCCAAGTACAGTTGACCTCCGTACTAGTTGGAGGTCAGTGGTCACCATCACGCCCCGGCCGCTTTACCCCTGGGGAAAGAGCCCACCGTATCCACTGGATAGGAGGGTGGGTGGGCCGAAGAACCGGCCTCGAAGACATGGAAAGGAGAAAATCTTGCCCCTGTCGAACTCTAACCCCTCGGCCGTCAACCCATAGCTAGTCACTCTACAGACTGCTCTATCGCAGCTCCCAAATAAATAAATAAATAAATAACGAGCTATTTATGTGCGTAATATTCACTTGTATAGTCCGATTACTTTGAGTTTATCAAATGTAAACCTGAAAGTTTACCGAGAAGTTAGCGTAGCAATAATTCTGGAGGCTTGTGTTTCGTAGTTGCTCGGCTGGGACACAGGCTATTCTTGTTGAGGTTTCTCGTTTTTTTCTTCAGTTCTTCCAGGCAGATTCCGGGATAATACCTCGCTTGAGTCACGACTGTTTCCTTCCAAATACTTTCCAAGTCATCATTAATCAGTGATGCTATACGAGGGGGTACCCAAAAGAAACCGAACTTATTTTTTTTAAACTTATTTATTCAAATTTTAAGCACAAACCTTCAATCCCCTTCAAAGTACTCTCCACTTACACTAATACACTTGTGTAGTCTTTTATTCCATTTTTCAAAACATTGTCTAAATTCATCTTTTGAGATGCTTGACAGCGCCTCCGTCGCTTTTTTCCTTCGCCTCAGCAACATCAGCAAAACGCTGAAAAAAAGTTTTCATCATTTCGGGACTCTTCTTTCAAAGCACAGCCTGCTTCCACGCGACCCTGTTTTTGTTCAGCAGTCANGTACTGACAACGTAGTAGGGCACGCGGTAGCATAGTTGGTTGAGGCACTATGCTACAAGCCGCAAGGTCACGGGTTCGATTCCCGATGAGGTCATTAGATTTATCAATTGACCTAATCCTTTCAGCCGCACTGTGTCCCTGGGGTCGACTCAGCCTTTAACAGACATGAGTACCAGGAATCTTCCTAGGGGGTACAGAGCGGCCGTCGTGTAAGGCTGATAACCTTACCGCCATCTGTGAGGCGATTGTCTAGATAATGTGGGGGCGTCGACGGCCTGTTATAGGGATAGCTTTATCTTTTTTTTACTGACAACATAGTAAAATACACAACAAGAAACTAATTGTTTCGTATCTATTCTCATTAACAGTTGAAAATGCATTAGCATTTTCAAAGACTCATATCGTATTCAGCGTCATCAACAGCGACTTGAAGCACAGAGCAAATGATGCTCGAGATGGTTCAAGTTCGTATAGCAACATGCGTGACCAGAGTGGTTTAAACGGCTGTTCTACTGCGATGTGGAAAGCAAATGGAAAAACTACCACGTTATCACTTTTCCTGGATAGTCTCTTTCCAAAAACAGAGATACCACGTATGCGAAGATAGAGGGGTGGATAGAAGTGATTAGAAGACGAGGAAGAAGACGTCAGAAGATGCTGGATGACTTTGGGGACAGAAAAGGATATTCTCATTTGAAGGAGAAAGCTCTAAATCGCATTAAGTGGAGGAACTGTTTTGGAAGAGACTGTGGACCTGTCGTCTGACAGATTATACTGATGAATGAATATCGTATTGTTCAACCAGTCGGCAAAAACGATATTTTGACAACAGCGTTACAATAATCCAAATGGAAATTCATGTAAAATGAAAGGCGCCAAGAATTTTGGGCATATCCAGATCCTGAATTTTTCTAAGTAGAAGAAGGGAACCATGTATGGCTCGAAAATTCATAAAATATGTTTGGTTTTTTACTTAGACAAGGGGAACCTTCTTTCACTTCAAGAACGATATTATTCGTTTTTCATTGGCTCTACAGCCCCCTTGGTCCTTGGCCTTTGATTTTCGGTTTCATGATCAGTTTACAGAAGGCAGGACTCCTTGGACGGGTGATCAGCTCGTCGCAATGCCTCTACCTAAACACAAGGCAACACAAACAGAGAATAAACGCATACGCATACCAAACATCAATACCTTATGTGGGATTCGAACCACGATCTCGGCTTCCGAGCGAACGAAGACAGCACATGCCTTAGACCGCTCGGCTACCGTTACCTGCCTAATTTTATTTTACTCCTAGTTTATTTAAGGACGCTCTGAGTAGCTCAGACTTAAGTCACATCGAGTGTATAGTTAATGAATAATGAAAAATGAAAGTTGTGGAATGAATTTAATACTGTTCTGTCATTTCACTTAAGAGAATGAGGAAGACCTTGAAAAAACTGCTCTCTGAACGGAGATTTGAGCCTGGAACCCCACGAAAATTAATTTCTATCCTTTAACCATATAAATAGCTAATAACTATGTTATCACTGCATTAATATTAAGAAAACTGCATTTTTCAAGAGTGTTGGCCGCAATTAATGGTCTTTGTATGGGTCTTCGAATATGCTGTGATTATTTCACCAAACAACATTAACCAGTCTATCTTCGTTATGGAGACAAACTTTTTATAATAACTACTCTTTTAAATATTAATTAGACGAATTTAATGTGTAAGAACTTCTAGCGGACCATTCGAATGAAAATGTTTCTATCCTGTGGAATATTTAGAATCGATGACTGCATGAGATTGATACATCACCTGTTTAATAACACCACACCACTACTGAAGTTATTTATGACTTATAATGTTGATAATATTTGAACAAGGAAAAATGTAAGATTGTATTAAGTTTTCCATAGATGGCTTCGTTCAACGTTGATTTCTAGCGAACTTCTTGCATCAAGGGTGCACAATTTTGTTACTAGACGTGCCTCTAAGAATATTCTGCTGTAAAAGCAAGATATATGGAAATGATTAAAATACTTCACTGAATTGTCACCTTTGCTGAAAATTAATATAAAAAGTCCATTCAAATTTTTATTAAATTTTTTCGTAAAATCCCATTCCACCTCTTAAGGAGCGTTGTCCACTTGTTTAGAGCTATGTGATTATTCCAGAAGGTTCGTTTCTGCAGCTTGTTCTTCTGTTCATTAGCCCGTTGTTTTGCTATGTCTGCAATCTGTTATATGCCCCTTGCTTGTGTGCTGTTCCCTGTAGAAGAGTGTGGTGTTGTCTTCATTAGTGAAGAAGTACAAATTTTAATGGACTTTTTATGTTATTTTTAAGTGGACTGCAACGCTCGGTTTTAGCGCACATCAAAGCAGTGTAACAGTTTGGATGCCCTAAGACACCTGAAAATGACCATCTATGGCCGAAACATGTTGTGTTAAGTGTTAAATGGTGACTAAACAATTATTGCATTATTGACGGACTGTGGATACATAGATGTTCAATTGTATTTATATTATTTGGTTTCCATCACTGTCAATTTCCTGGTGAAAAATTAAAGACCATAAAATCTGCCCTGGCCATTTAGTATTTGCTTTTGGGGGAATTGTGGTTAGCATTTGTTAGTCTCGTAATAATGGAGGAGTTATTTTGATTCCCATTGCCTTGTAGTGAATAAAAGGTTCATCTTTCTAAAATGTTTCTCTAACCTCTGTCATGAGAGCAGATTTCTTAACCCTCATAATTTGAACAGAGGTCAGTTAGGAAGAAAGAGCAGTGCTGGAGAGATTACGAAAAAATATTTACTAACTCTATCTCAGCCAAACTATTTTTGTACCCAAGTAAATGGGCAGCAGTAATACTGCCACAGCTCTCATCATATTTTCATTTATAAAATAAGATCTCTGACAATATCATTATACAAAATTTAATTCGGTATTAAACATAGAATTGTCAGTTGAAATCATTTTTTAAGATAGCATCTATCTTATGAGTGTTCTTCTGATACCATTGTGAGTTCAGATATTACTATCTATTTCACAGAAATGCCAGCTGGAGCCAACAACTATTTGCTCTGATATAGCCTGACGGACAACATCAGCATGAAATTTGCTGAGCACTTGTCAGCTCACATCACTCCTGAATGGAGGAAACAGTACATTAGTTATGAGGTGGGATTTTACAGTGTATTCAGATAACATGCATTTGTATTGTATTCTTGGTTTATGACTGTAAGGAATGGCATGTACTCTGAAGCATGAATGTGTAACTTAGTGCAGAGGTTCTCACTTGCTGTGGTATGTCTGTATGCTACAATAATATATAAGTTTACACAGCCCCTCATTTCTACCAGTCAGCAAAACATGTGGCTTGACACAAAGTTGCTGGTCCTTATCAGGCTGTGTACTGATGACAACCCTGTGTGGAGGTGGGTAAGAATACATCCACTGCAGCCCAATGAGTCATAAAAGGCGATGAAAAGGTACTTGGTGCCTGGGAGTATGACTGGGCCACCTTGTTATTTGGGGACATAAACACTTGTACCTGGTCCTCCAGGTTGAGGATTGGATGCAAGGCTGTCTACCTTGATGTATAAAATAATTATTGTTGTGAAATCCAGAGAAGTGGAAACCAAATGCAGTCTGGCAAAATCATTTGAGGATGGCTGTGTGTCAGAAATGGATGTTTTGCCAGTAATGTTACTGATGACAGGAACATAACTGTATGGCTTCTCTACAGCTACATAAGCTACAGGCTAAAGCATTCCAGTAATCACAAAAAAAAAAAACCGCTGAATTATTTGGCAACTGTGACTATGTTTTTTGAAAGCACCTCCATTAAATCTTATTAATATACTAATCTGCCAAAGCTCTGCATGAATACAACTACATCTTAAATATTTCTTGAGGACTAGACAACCCCATTTGTAGTAGGCCAACACTCACAGGGTGAGAGTAATTGATATAATTACAGACTTACATTACCCAGTCTGGTTATGGAAGAAGTATTAAAATCATATCATACTGTGTTTTTGCAGTTATCACAGTGCGTAGTTTTGCAGGATTTGAGGTTCTCACAGCGGTGGTTATAAAGAGTTCTGTCTTCTGGGATATAATGCTGTGTAGTCCATTGATAGTCAACCGACATTTTGGAGGAACATGTAACTTCCATCTTCAGGGTCAAAAAATAAGCGAAGCAAAAAACCAGCATGAAACAGGTGGCCAGCAGAGCCTTTCATAGCATAAAAAATTTATTTTTGAATTTGCTCTACTTCCCACCTGTTTCTTGCTTCACCTATTTTTTTTTCCTGAAGATGGAGGTGAGATGTTCTCCAAAACATCCATTGACATTCAGTAGACTACATGGCATTACATCTCATAGGATATAACTCCAATTTGTAGTTTTATAGGTGCATGCTGACATTTCAGAGGAACACATTACCTTCATCTTCAATGTTGAAGTACGAAGGTTGAAGAATTAGTTGGTTATATAGACAGGTTACAAGGAATCTGAAGTCAGGGGTGTGGAGCTGGAACCCTGTTCAGGATGATAAGAATATGAAACAGGTAAAAAGTTCTTTTCAGGGCCATAATATTGTTTTTCATGGTAGGAAGGAAATTTTTACTCATCCTACTGACCTGGACTAGGCTCGATTCTCTGCTTGTCCTCCCGTGGCTCAGAGTGGCCACTTTCCTTGCAAATTTCTCATATAACCTAACAGTTCCTCATCGTACACACATCAGCACTGAAAATTGGGGCAGGATTTTCCTTCAAAATGTTGGTGTCTGTCTACAAATTACCCACTGTTATAAACCAAATGCCGACAATCTGAGCACCCACCACTATAAAATCTTCAAAGCTTTTTATGATGATTTTTATTTCATGTCATGACAACTTAACTTGTAGTTAATTTTGACTGCTTTATTTTCTGCATATTTTTAGTAAATTTATTGTACATAAATAATGTACATACCCATTCATAGCAAGAACTTTTCATCATATAGTTTTAATAAATTTATTTTTGTGTTTGAACAAGAGTGTCAGGTGAATGAATATTTGAGTCTTCTTTTGATTCTGAAATATTTAGCTGTACTGCTAGGGAGGATGTCTGTTAAATCTAGGATTACACCTAGGGCAACACCTTTATTATCTTATTTTTATTGTAGGAATTGAAGGCCATGTTGTATGCTGCTGTTGAAGAGGCTCCTTCTGCAGAATCAGTGGAACCTGAAGTTCTCACGAGACACTTTGCTAACTTCGATGAACACTTTTTCCATTACTGTGACAAAGAACTCGCAAAAATAAATACATTCTACTCAGGTAATTACAGATGTCACTAGTTTTTAACTGCGAAGAATAGGAATACTGCTTTATGTACTGTTAAAATTATTAATCTTATTTCAGAAAAAATGGCTGAAGCAACACGTAAATTTGCTGGATTGCAAAATGAATTGAGAATTTCATTGGGCGACAACAAGAACAGTAATAAATCTCCAATGAAGGAAAAGGCAGCTGGGAGACCAAATGTTCCTGCTCGCAAGATTCAGGAGCTGAAGCTGGCTTTCAGTGAATTCTATCTGAGCCTGATTTTACTTCAGAATTACCAGAACCTCAATTTCACAGGCTTTAGGAAGATCCTCAAGAAACATGACAAAGTGAGTTTATTAATCTCAGCTTTTGAACCATTTTGATATGTACAACTGTCCTGTAAGGCTTCCATACTAATTGTAAAAGAGAATATTATATTTTTGCCATATTTTGTAGATTGAGCTTTAATACTGTCTTACTGTACAGTTTAGGATAACATTATTTTGTTTCACCTAATAGCATCTTTTTTGGCTTATTAGATGTACCTACTAATTTTATGCATTATTATCTGCATATAAGTTTGATTTATCTTTTTAAATCAGTTACTATCAGTGGATACTGGAGTTCGTTGGAGAGTGGAGTATGTTGAGACCTCTCATATCAACACGAATAAGGACATAGATCGTCTGATCACCGAGACTGAGACGACTGTAACGATAGAGCTTGAGGGTGGTGATCGTCAAAGGGCCATGAAGAGGCTGAGAGTGCCACCACTTGGGGAGCAGCAGAGTCCCTGGACAACTTTCAAAGTGGGGCTCTTTTCAGGCTCATTTATTGTGCTGTTCCTTGCTGTTGTGCTGTCAGGTAAGAATACAACATAAACTGTTCTCCAATGATGGCGGATTACAATGCTCCTGATTATATGATGATAATAAAAATGACATGAGATTTTAGATTTACAGCATTTAAGTATCAAAATTGCTGTCTTTTGGGATACAGCACCGTGAAATTCATTAGATAGGTACTAAAATATCAAAGGAACCTGCTACCTTCAATTTCAGGTTAGAAGAGCAAGAAGTAGGATGAATAATTTAAACTTTTTTGTCTGAGTCCGGAGTGGACGGCCAGAAATTTTCCCCCCTATGTCAGTAGAATAAGTGCATACAAGTTAATTTTCTGCCCTGAAAATGGAAACAGCAATTTCTTCTGAAATACAGTTGCTCTCAAGACAATTTTACTAGCACACACATTCACACATACACACACACACACACACACAGAACAAATAAAAGGAAACACATTTGTGTGAGATTTGAAGTTCTAATGATGGTGTCGACCAAAGAAAATGTTACTGAAATTTTATGAATAGACAGCACATACAAATTTAAGAAGAGTACCTCATATGCACTGCCATTTACTGGCAGTATAATGCATAGTGATCGTAGAACGTACTTGTATTAAACAGTTTCCAAGCAATGAAGCAACAGTGAACAAATATAATGTTTGCAGCATATAAGAACTGGTTATTGTTATTCAGTAACAGGTATTGATAGCTCTCCAAGTGTAAGAATTGTGGAGATGTACAGAGATGGCACTCCTTACGTACAAGTACTTCGGTATGTATGTGTTATCATAGTATTATGACTGCTATATGTAATTTTATTTCTTTCACTGCTTGTTTTTTTATTTATTTAAATATATTTCCTGGCAGCCATATTTCATGAAGGTTCTCGGGAAAACCTGAAGGTAGCATTGCGACTGTACCGTGGGCCACTGCTTATCATAGAGTTCTTGTTCCTCATGGGTGTAAATGTGTATGGATGGCGCTCATCAGGTGTGAATCATGTGCTTATCTTTGAACTGGATCCCCGGAACCACCTGTCTGAGCAGCACCTTATGGAACTAGCAGCCATCTTTGGTGTCATCTGGACTCTGAGTCTGCTCAGCTTCCTATATAGTGCCTCCTTGAGTATTTCACCGTATGTGAATCCATTGGCACTCACTGTCATCATGATTGTGTTTATCCTGAATCCTATGAAGGTCTTCAGGCATGAAGCTCGGTTCTGGGCATTACGAGTTATGGTAAGTAGATAACAGTATATGTTATTGCAATGCTGTCTTATGTATTAAAAGATAAAAAAAGAATATTTAATGAAAATGGAATTTTAAAAGTAGTTGAAAAGAGTGCCTCCAGAAAAATAGATAACAATCTAGCACTTTTGTTGTGATTTTGTTTTCCTGATTCATCATTAGTGTGGCAAAATTTCTTCATCAGGAAGATGTGAAAGTAGAGTGGGTTCTCCATTTAATGTTTCTTTTTTAAGGTTTCCCATTGTTTAGTATCCAATTTCTGAGGTCTCACACCAATTATCTTCAAACCCCTCTGGTTAAGATTTTCATTATTTTATTGTTCACGTCTCATGTATTCACTGCAATACATTTTTCAGTATTTTGTGAATTTTAAACTACGTTATGACAAATTTTATGGGACAAAATAAAGAACGTTATTGCGTAGTACAAAAATAACTGTTATAACCTGGATGCCCTGGGACTCTCTGTGAAGGTGAAGTACATAGATTGCCTGTGGTTTCACCACATAGTATGAACTTTTTCTTTCTTTTTTCTAGTAATTACTACAATGTGAATCCTTGATCCGAATCTGGATATAAGACAGTAGCAGATTGCTGTTACCCAATTACTATAGAGGTCTATACAGTCTACCCACTATATTGTGTTAGCCAAGATTCTTACATAGCTGAAAATGAACATTGAAATATATGTAATCAACAACAAGCAAATGTGAAATTTTGTACTGGACATGTAATAGAGATCTATGCAGAAGCATGCAGACTAAGAGGGTTCAGAGAAAGAAATGTACTTCAGGCAAATAAGTGATGTCACCAAGATCTGATCCAGGTACTGCAGTGTAGTAGGTAGCATGCCTGCTCCTTATTCAGGAGATTTTTGGTGCAAATTCTGGCCAGTAACCATTTATCTTGTCTTCAGCTTTTGTAAACTTTCTCAGCTGCTCAGGTACCAGAATTTCTGGTACCTTAAAATAAATTGTGACATCATCTGATAGATGCATACTAACCTTTTGGAGGAACACTGCTACCCATGGTGTTATAACCCAGAAGGCTGCAATAGTGCATGAAACTTTACTGCTGTGAAAATCTTAGATCTTACAAATTGTGACAACTGTACATCCTTTCTTCTTTACTACTCTTAACAAAACTGCTTTATTTTCAAATACAATTGACCTACAAGTTTTGGAAGTGTTAGATAAACAGAGAAAAGTAAACATTCAAAGAAAGCTTCAGTTCACACTAGCCTAGTAAAAATGTAAAACAAATTCAGAGATAAAGTGAAATCACTACTAACCAGCAGTCAACTTTAAAGAAATTGAAGTAGCAAGCTATATATTTAAGTGAAGTTGAAGCTATATCTTGTTGCCACATGTCTTTTGTAAGCATTATCGTAAAAGCCTGGGTCTAAGAAGTGTAGAATAGGCAAGCATTCTAATATAATGTTTTATTTTGTTAGGGCAGAATCCTTGCAGCACCCTTCTTTCATGTGGGCTTTGCTGATTTCTGGTTGGCTGATCAGCTGAACAGCTTAGTGGCAGCACTTCTTGATTTTGAATTTCTCATCTGTTTCTATGTAAGAAATGGTGACTGGTTAAATGCAGGAGGTACTGTTACTTTTATTTTACAGTGAATATTTGTTTATAGTTACAGAATTGAAAACTTTTATCTCCAGCGTTATATTTTTATAGTTTCAACTGAAATTCAATTTTATATTTGTTGAATCTGCAGGCTTTTACTTTAGTTTCAGATACACTCTATAAAGTTGATTTTATTGGACTATATTGCTATTATTGTTATAGTAATTATTATCACTGCTTCAATTTTAAATTGTTTAAATTTCATAATATTATCTTCATTAATACACTACCACCACAATTATTTCTGTTGTTGCTGCTGCTACTCTCACTACTCTACTGCTACTGCTACCGTTACTGCTACTTCTACAAGTACTAGTGCTAATACAACATTATAGCAATCCATATATCAGGTTATAATTACTGTAAATGTTGGTAGTTTTGCTCACAGAAACAGATGAATGTGTGGAGAATGACTGGGTTATAAGACCAATTGTGAACTGCCTTCCGGCATGGTTTCGGTTTGCACAGTGCCTTAGGCGGTACCGTGACACAAAAGAAGCCTTCCCTCATTTGGTTAATGCTGGGAAATATTCCTCAACGTTCCTAGTTGTTTTGTTTGGAACCCTGCGCTCATTACATGATGGTGAGAATTTTTATATTTGTTTGTTTAATGTACAGTTTTATTTGATTTGTGATATATTCATTACTGGTAGAAAAATGTTGTGCCCATCTAAATCAAGCATTTTATAGTTATTAAATGCTTTACTGTCAATGTGCTCAAAATGACATAAATGAAATGTATATGGAGATTAATAAATACAGGGTTACGTTATGTTCCAGATGAATATGAAGATGCATTAGACAATCCATATTTATACCTGTGGGTATTTGCATCAGTAGTGAGCTCTTGTTATGCTTACACATGGGATATCAAAATGGACTGGGGTTTATTTGACAAATCAGCAGGAGAAAACAAGTTTCTCAGGGAAGAAACTGTTTATTCTTCAACAGTAAGTAATATTAATAGATATTTCATGACATGAACAAAATTTTATTTATTACTTTATTTCTCAGCAGACTTGTTAAAGCATCAACTAGATTCTGAAGGGTTCTATCAGTAGTATATAACACATATGTTGTCCAGTGAATTGAGGTTAGCTCTTTCTAACGGACCCAGCAGAGTAGGTGCCTCCCAGTCTTCCACCTGAGGATGGAAATAGATAGAGTTTCTTAAACATTCTGTTTTTTGGAGTTGTATCAAATAGCTGATGATTTTCAAAGCCAAAAAACCCAGTATTTCCTATTGCTAAAACAAACTTTACTCACCTACATTTTTATTAAAATAAACTGAATTTAAATTTAATATTTATGATTATCTTAGGAATATATTCTGCAGAAAAAGTAATCACAGTCTTACTAATATTCCCATTGACAAAAAGAAATGAGTTATTGAAAGTGTCCATTTTTAACCTAATTACCTTTTTTTTAATAAAATAATGCTTATGTCATCACTTTGCTGACTGTCTGTTTATCCTCCCATAATTTTTGTTAGGAAGCTTATGAAATCACCTTACTTTCTGGGTGGCTGTCCTTCCCCCCCAATTTCTGATAGGAGGTTTATGAGATCGCCTTGTTTACAGAGAAGCCCATAGTCTGCTATGAATACAATGTATGGTTTCTCTAACCTTAGGATCGTTTTGTTCAAGCAGTAAAATTTTCTTTATTGACCGCAGTTTGAAATTTACCGTAAATCTCATGTACGTATTTTAGTAATGTCATAAACGATAAAAAAGGTAAAGCTATTCCTGTAACAGGCTGTGGAGGCCCATAGTTTTGTAAGATATTGAGGCTCCCACATTTTCTAGACAGTCAGCTGACAGATAGCGGAGATATTGTCAGTCTTACATGGTGGACACCTTTTACCCCCAGGAAGATTCCTGATACTCATTTCAGTTAGAGGCTGAATCAGCACTAGGGCCATAATGTGGCTGGAAGGATTAAGTCGGTGAAAAGTGCAGTGACCTCATCGGGAATTGAACCTATGACCTTCTGGTTTGTAACATAGTGCCTCAAACAATTACACTACTGTTTGCCCCCAACTTCATAAATACTGTATTCATAATAACAACATTAGATAACTGTCAGTTTCACTTACAGTGCAGGTAGCTTGTGACATGGTTACTGAAGTTATCCACTGACACCTGCCTTTATTCAGGATTTAATGTATCGTCGTCATTGTTGTTGTTGTTGTTGTTGTTGTTGTTGTTGTTAATTCACTGTGATGATGATGATGATGATGATGATGATGTTATTTATCTCAACGACGACTATGATTTGACATTTTCCAGTTCAGCTACTTCTTGTGTTCCCTGAGTCTTCTTGCTTTGCCACCTTTGTGCAACATATGTCATGCTACCAGCCGTTAAACTAATTACAATGTGTGAAATAAGTTCATAGTTTTCTGATATTCATTGAACATTATATAAAATAACTTTTATTTATAACTTAAGTGGATAATTACAGTTAATTTACATATTTAAATATAATGGAAAAATGCCAATTGGAGATTTTCTTCAGGCCAAAATACTTTTTTATGACTCAAAATTATTAAATTGCCTACATCACATGAAGTCCCACAGAGTACTCAATCAAGTGAACAATGTCACAATTAATAAAGTAAAAACTGATATTTCGTCAATTTTTTAGTGTTGATGGAGAAGAAAGAGAGACTGAAACTCTTTCATTAGGAGCCTGGTCTGAAAATTGTACTTCAATTAAAAATGAGTCAATGGAGGATGTCCAATATATGTGTCAGTTTAATACTTGAAATTTTTGTTATTAAAAATATGCATTGTTCCATTGGATAAAAGTACTCCACTTCTCTACTTTTCTCCTCTGGGACATATACAGCAGTACACTCCTTCTCCTGACAATGTCCACAATGTTTGCCCAATTTTCTTGCTGCTTCATCACTAATAACTAACACTATTGTAATAGAATAAGAAGTTCAATACTACTCATATTGTAGCTCGCCATACATACAAACATGCACCTCCCATCCACACACTCTAGCTCCTTAAGATCTGTCTTAGTATTATTCTCCTGTCTCCTTCATTGTCTTCCAAATGGATGTTTCCCCAGAGGCTTTGCATCCACCGTTCTGTATGTGTCTCTTATCTCCCCCATCCTAGCTAAATGTCACATATTGCTCATATCCACTGTATCTGTTAATAGTATGTGAATAGAATAGTGTGATGTATAAAGATGAATTTATTTTCTGTTTAATGCTTACTTTTAAATACTAGTTCTTATAAACAGTTGTTCAATTATCAATTAATATTTTCATTTGTCTGCAAAAGAAGAATTACCTGTTACAGCAAAGAGTATAATAAGTTTCAAATTGTTTGTTTCAAATCAAGATTCTTGGACCGTTTTCTTTTTGGAGCCACAAAAATTGTATTCTTCTTTTGATGCCATTTATAGTACAAGTGTTTTAATAGGATGGCATGCAACCATTGGTGGACCTTAGGGTAATTTGTAGATTTTAAAATGGCAGGAATATATGGGCACTTAAAAATTCAAATATTTATATTTCATCTGAGTGAGACTGACTAATGTGAAGATGTACAATTCTTCTCAGTGAAAGCTTAAAGAAGAACAAATAGATTAACATGTGGAGCAGTATTGTTTGGAACATATAAGTAATTACATGTTGAATATTTATTTTTATTGAAGACAGCAGGCTTTGTGATATTAAGTAGAGTGCTTCTTTTGTTGTTTTCTTTGAATCCAAAAATGTTAGTTTTTTTGGGATTGTGTTATCAGGGTAATATTTTTTTTTTATTTATCTGTTGATGTAAATTGTAGTTGGTTCTTTTCAGTGTGTCTTTTGTGTCTGAATAATGTGTATATACAATTGCAACACAACCTTAATGTCATCAGCAAATAAAAGACTTATGTGATCAGTGTTCCAAACTGTGCCAACATCCCTTTCCCTACAACTTATATTTAAAATTTTGTTTATCATTTTCACAATGTTTCTTCGTGGGTCACCCCTGCTTCAGCAATAAATTTTTCATTTGCAGAGTTTCTACTATTTTGCTATTGTAGAAGATCTTGTACTGAGGTTTGCTTGGGCATATTCATATATCCTTACTGAAGCTGATTACATCAGTGGAGATTTGATGACTTCTATAATTTCACCTTTAGAAGTGTTTAGGTATGTAACAAATAATTTAGTAATTGATTGTTAAAATTGTAGTTGTGATTGACTTCTATAATTTCACCTTTAGAAGTGTTTAGGTGCATAACAAATAATTTAGTAACTGATTGTTAGAATTGTAGATATGACTGACTTCAAAACATGTAATTTTAACACTTTCTGTCTTCCTTTCATACTTGCTTTATATACACAGTCAAAGGCCAAGCAGTTTTCCATTTTCTGAAATGTTTTCTGTTATTTTTGTGACTGCTCTGTCATGGCCAGTAACAGTGTTGGCACTTTTAAAATATTGGACATCAGTAATACTCATCCTTGAGTGCTACCTTTTATATGTTTAAATGTGATGAGTTTGGTTGTGTGTCTTCCATCAGAAGTTCAAGTGTATTTATGTATATATGTCACAGTGTTGCAGTTTTGTATCTGATCTTAAAAATTAGATTTTTTAAATAACAGTGTTTACTATTGTAACCCCACAAGTTCTAATAATTTAATGTGCACTCTCAATTGTAACTTTTGGTTTGGAAAGAACAGAGACACAAGCAAATAATTATTATTCTTAGAGGTCATAAATAATGTCACATTAAGAATTTATTAGAGTATAAACAACTGTGGGAGCTGCCCACATTCAAACAAGCGTGACAACGCAAGCTTCATTGCTTAGCAGCGACAAGTAAACAGCGGTTGCTAGGGAACTAGTAAACACGGTAACCGGCAATAGCAGCACCTATTGCGTAACCGTTTTCCATATATCCGACTCTAGGTTATATAAGAAGATACACTGAGTGACAGTTACGGTTCTAGTTTCTACAGTTCACTATTGTTATCCGTCTGTGTATACTGTGCAGCTGCAATAAATCCTACAGGACAGTTCAACTAGTGGTTGTCTCTTCATTCATACGACATCCCACATTGGTGACCCCGACGTGATGCTGCTGCTTGCGAGTTGTCTGCGGTGTCCATGCTGCGCCGGGACTCCCTAATGTTTAATATTGCATTTAATTTTAGACATAGAATCTTAGGATTTCTTTTTGTGATGTATTCAACAGCTAGTTAAGTTCTAGTGCTTTCCAAAAATTGACATCACCACAAGTAAAAGAGCAGCTGCAGTTGTTTCATAACAAGATGGGACCCAATCTCGTATCAGCCATTATGTTTGTCCCAAATTCTAATATCAGTTTAATTGGAAGATTGGACCAATGACTTGGCTTCCAAACGGTCCACATCTCACACATTTTGATTTTTATATGGCAGTATGTGAAAACAGTTGTCTAAACCAAGACTACTCCTGACTTGTGACATTTACAGGAGAGAGTCACTACAGCTGGTACTCCAGTACATGATTTTCTGTACCTGAAATGAAGTCAAATACAATGTAAATATCTGTAGGGTGGCAAATGATGGTCTCAAAAAGATTTTATATGGCATGAATACTTAACCATATTTCCTCAAACTGATTACTGTGTCTTGTTGTGTATTCCAAGAGGGAAATACATAGGTAGTTAGTTAGTTACTGGAGAGGGTGGGTTTCCCCATGCACTGAGACCTGTATTGGTCCATTGTGCTTCCCTCTATGATTTCTACCAGTCTCTATATCCTACCGGTACTGGTGCTTACCATCAGTCCCGCCCAGCCAGCGAGACCGGCTCTACTAGCTGAGAGGTATCTATAATGCTTCCCCCATCTACCNTATTAGAGACTGCTGTTGGGCGGGAAACATCCGTTAATTTGGCTCAGTGACCTCCTTTGGAGATATGAGGTTCTTTTACGTGACGTAAAGCTACGACACGGGACCCACGGCTTAAAGTCCCTCCCGAAGGACTTGTTCCCTGATTTTTCCGCCCTTAAAAATTCGACGACCTCCGCCGGGTATTTGAACTCGCATACTATGAGTCATGAGGTAAATACATAGGTAAGTCAATAAGTAAGTTACAAATGGATGTAGAACTTAAACAGATAAGGGTACTGGTTTGAAAGAAGCATTTTTCAAATCAGTACTCTTATTTGCTTAAGTTCTATGTCCATTTGTAACTTACTTATTGACTTACCCTCGTTTATTTTGAACAAACACCATCATGCTGTCACTATGACATACCATCACTGCGCTGACAATAATTTGTGTGTTGTTAAACAATGCACTTTAAATCCTATCATGATATGTCTAACATTGAATGGAACACTCAATGTAAAATTTACAGAGCTTATTTTCAATGAATGTACATTTACATTTAGTAACTAAAACTGTTTTGATATATACTGTTAAATACTTTTACTGTCTGTGTTTTAAATAAGTTATTTTTATGAGCATTTATTTACTCTATTCAGTTCTGGTCTAACTTCATTTAATTCAAGCCCTCCTGCACATCAGTTCTGATTTCTATTTCATTTATTCTGCAGAACAACCCATTATTTTTGTTTATAATGATTTGAACAACTCTGTATATGCTACAATGAAATATAACTTTATTTGTAGACGGTTTGTATGGAACTTCTTCCGATTGGAAAATGAACATATTAACAACTGTGGTAAGTTCCGAGCTGTGAGAGATATCTCTGTGGCCCCAATCGACTCATCTGACCAGTCTCAGATGATCCGCATAATGGATGAGGAAGATGGTGTCATTCATCGTCGCAAGAGGAAACAATCGAAAAAGGCAAAGGATGATAAACAGAAATTGTTATCTGAAGAATCATTAGAAGAAGCTGATAATTCAGCTTATATAGGAAATCGTTTGTAAATTTATTTACATAAGAAGTTCCTCAGCAGTATTTGGCCTATAATAGGCTTTTAAGATACACTGATATTTTATAAGAATTTTTCTTCTTTAGTATAAGAATTACCAGTATATTTATTCGTTTTTATTTTCAAAGATTGTGAACTGTGTCATGAGAAGCTTTCTGTCATTGTATTGTGAATTACAAAATTTGGAGCATTCGTCACAATCTACTTCTTGAACGGAGATGAGCTGTGGTAGAAAGTGGTTTAAATTGGATTATATTTTTTTAGTTTTAATATAAATATATTGTGTGTATAAATTTAAAAATATTTTAATAATTCAGTGACATTTTATTTTAAAAAGTATTTATTTCTAGAGAACATTCTGTCAGTAATTCTTTTGCCAAACAACACCCCAAGTTTTCCCACTAATCTGGAATTTTACATCCCTACTGTAAACATACTCTTCATCTGTACTTTTACTCTTCCCATAATTTTCCTCATTGCGTCAAGCCTGGGGACAGTCATATCCTTGGTATCCAAATATGTAGTACGGTGATCAGGACTTAATTTATTACACTTATTAGCACCAGTTACAGGAGGATGGTTAAGCCGTGAGAAGAGGAAAATTCTTTTCCTTTCCGAGAACAGAACCCGAAAATGTCGGACGTTAACCCATTGTTATACCGACTGAGCTATCGTTGCTCTGTGCATGTGATAGCGCTGCTGTAATTTTAGCGACAATCCAACCAACTCTGGTGGCTGGAGGAAATGTTAGTTATAGACCAAACTTGTCTTTTATTTAGAAACCGATGCATATGGAAGCAGGCGTAATTATGTGTTCTGTAAAGAGAATTGACTCTTTCATTCGCTCAGACGATATTTTCGCATAGCAATGCAATTTGGAATAATGAATGTTTCCTAATAGCAACACGGAAGAACTTAATTGTACGTAAGACATTTATGAACGTTCTTCGATAGGTAAGTGATACACAAAACAAAACAAACACGTGAACCGTGGGCGTGCGTTAATGCTAGTGGACAAAAAAATGGTGGTTGTGTTATGGCAGATAATCATGAAGTGACGGAAACGCGTTAAATAATTTAATATAAAGTGACATCATGAAAACAGAAGCACGAAGCGTAAATCATTAACATTTTAAAACACGTGAAAGGAGATTTGGAGGTAAAAGGTAAATACTTTTTAATAGTTCCTAATTTCTAACCTGTAAAATTTTTGCGTAAGATGGAGTCGGGTATTTTACTCGTATTCTGCACATGGAAATGTTTTCGTTATATTTTGTCCCATTCAGGAGCCAAGTTTAAAGAGGCCAAAACACTTTCATGACGAGTTTTTCTGTCTCTCGATGTGTCCGTCACAATATCATCAGAAGCTGTCGGCATTTCGTATATGTCTGCATCCTACAGGAGCTGAAAACCGGAAAACCTAAGGGTAGAGTCATGCTCCATGCAGAATTTATGACATGAACTGTAATTGTATTCATCAGAAGGATTTTTTTAATGCTAATGGGGTGGGACTAAGTCCCTTGTACTGCGGCCACTTCTAGCCTATTGTACCAGCTCCAGATGATAGATGAGGGTGATTGTGGAGCAATTGGTAGAATGAAGATTGGCAGGGGAAACCGAAGTACTCGAAGCAAACCTGCCCCAGTGCCACTTTGTCCACCGCAAATCCACTTGACCAGACCCGGGATCAAACCCCGGCCGACGCGGTGGGAAGCCAGTGACTAACCGCTTGAGCTATGGCGCGGCCACGTCAGAAGGTTAATACGACTTAAGACTCCGTAGTGGAATAGGCATATTGAGTTATTCATCTTAACCTTGTATTTTAAAATATATGAAACATTTGTTGAATGGATGAATGTATACTTAATTACTCGTGGAGCTGAGCCCTTCTTGAGGAGCCGCTAATTCTGCAGCTGCTCAAGAATTTCCCAGCAGTTTATGGAACCCGAAGGTTCATTGCCATGTTAACAAGAGCTCTCCACTGGTCCATATCCTGAGCCAGACCAATCCAATCCCAACAAATATCTCTAAGATCCATTTTAATATTGTCCACCCACCTACTCCTTGGTCTTCCCAGTGGGCTCTTTGTTTCTGGTTTTCCCACCAATATCCTATATGCATTCCTCTTCTCCCCCATTCGTGCTTCATGCCCTCCCCACCTCATCCTCCTTGACTTGATCATTTTAATTATACTTGTAGAAGAGTACAAGTTAAGAAGTTCCTCATTATGCAGTTTTCTGCAATCTCCTGTCAGTTCAACTCTCTTCGGTCCAAACATTCTCCTCAACACCCTCAGTCTATGTTCCTCCCTTAATGTCAGAGACCAAGTTTCACACCCATACAGAACCACAAGTAAAATTATAGTTTTGTATATTCAAATGTTTATGAAAGACGAAAGGTTCTGGACTGAAGGGTAGCAAGCATTACCCGAGTTCAATCGCCTCTTAATTTCCTCCTGAATCAGGTTTCGATCTGTTATCGTTGTTCCCAAATATCTGAACTGTGCCACATTTAAAAAAATCTGTTTCCTATCTTTATGTCATGATTTTGCCCTGTATTTTGGTGACGAGACAACAACATGTGTTTAGTGGATGAATGTATACACTGGAATAAGTTAGTTTAACGTTACATATGTGGTGAGGACTTCACCACACGGGCTCAGAAAAAGGATAATTTTGTTTTGTTATTTACTGCAGCAACAGACACATGCATTTTCTCCATATATACACCAAGAGCTGAAATAGGTTAAATTATATAGCGACGTAGTTGCTTGCGTATGTAATTTTTTTTGACCTTCCATGTTCATTGTATTTTCTTTAATAGCCCATGCTTTTATTGGTACTTTATGAGGATGGTGATGGTCATGGCTGCGTTTTTAATTTGCCCAGGGTAGAAAGTTGAAGGAAACTTATCACATTCTATCACGTCATGTTACGTGATATTACAGTTTTATTATCAAATTTACCTAATGTCATGACTGTGTAGTTAACACTTGCATCATATTTGGGATTCCTGAGTTCGAATCTCGTCTCGGAGCCAGACTCTCTCACCAAGATTTCTTGTGGCTTGCCTCCGTCCTTCAAGCAAATCTTTTGGTAGTATATTCCATCTACTAAGAAAGAGGAGGGTGGATTATCAGTAGTTAGTGGCATAGACTGTTATGTCATCATTTGAAAGTTGCTAGATTATATTTTCACCATTTTTCGATATTCATACGCCGGTAGGATATTAAAGCATACTCACACAGGACTAGTCTTCCGTAAGGTTGCACTAAATTTGCCGACAAGCGGCCCTCGCTCGGTCGGTAGGGTTCCCTTGCCGATTAAAAAGCCACGGAGTTTTTTTAAGGTTGTATACAGAAGGTGTGCGTTACCGTGTTCGTAGAGCAGTTTAAGAGGTTTGTGGCATATATAACGATGCAATCAATGTGTAGTCTATATAGCGCCGTATGGTAGGATGACTGTGAGTAAATAATTGGAAAGGATTTGGAAGGAAGAAGTCGGGGCGTAGTTGCACTATCCCGGAAATTGCCTGGAGGGACTGAGGAAGATCACTTAAAGCCTCAACCAGATTAGCCGGTCTTCTGGCTTGAGTCCGCAAGCGAACTGTACCGACCGAGCGACCGCCGCTTGTCGGCGAAGTTAGTGACAAATTTAGCGGGCAGAGGGTGTCGCGTGGTCAGCGCAAGTGATCCCCACGGCCGTTAATCTCGGTTTTCTACACCGGAAGATCCTACTAACAGTAGTAGTTAGATAGTTATTTAGAGAGGGTGGGTTTCCCCATGCACCTCGACCAGTTTCGATCTATTGTGCTTCCCTCTATGATATTCTACCAGTCTCTTTACCATACCGATAAATGGTGCGTACCATCAGTCCCGCCGAGCAAGCGAGTTCGGCCACTTGCTTAGCGGTGTCTATAATGCTTCCCCCGTCTATCAGAGGCCTTAGAGACTGTTGTTGGGCGGGAAACGTCCTGGAATTTGGCTCAGTGATCCCCTTTGGGAATATGAGGTTCTTTTACGTGCCGTAAAGTTACGACACGGGACACACAGCTTAAAGTCCCTCCCGGAGGACTTGTTCCCTGAATTTTTCCGCCCTTAAAAATTCGACGACCTCCGCCGGGTATTTGAACCCGCGTACCACGAGTCATGAGGTGGGAACGTTACCTCTAGACTACGGAGGCCGCTACTAACAGTAGTAAGAAAATAAAATGAGAATCACAGTGACATTAAAATATTCATATGTTTTACATATTTGTCGTTCAAACCTTATGTGTGATTTGCGAAACGTGACATAATGCGAGGAACGTCTACATACGCAGAACGATGAACGACGTTACTGCACAGCAAATAAATACAAACAAAGAGACCTCAAACAATGTCACTTGGATGAACGGACGACGATCTAAAGCAAAATATTAACATTTTAAGTACATTTTAACCGATAAATTTGATTTGGTTCATCCTGGTCCGTCACACTAGCAGTATTATAAAAAGTTATCAACTCCATACAGTTGATTGATAAATTTCTTTTCACCTTCTTAATCTCTCATCCCTGACATGTTTCGGTCTGAGAGACCATCCTCAGAAGGACATATCAGTACATACATACAAATGTCATTACAGTGCGATGAATATAAAACGTGATCCTTTAACAACTACAGCGACGTGCATGAATATATTAAAATATTTATAAATTATTATAATTAGTTTGTTTACAAGTGTGGTTTAAAAGGCTTTGTTAAAATTTAAAACCAAATTGGTTCGTGTCCTTTATATTGCCTATCTTTATTGATTTTAATTAAGGTCCATTTATTTTCAGTTAAGAGATATCGCATCACATGTGATCTGAGAAGCTGGGCATACCATACAGTGCAACAATTTTACCGAATTAGAGACACCTGATGATGGCCGTGTACGGTCGAAACATGTTGTGTGAAGGAAGATGGCCAATAGTAAGTTGCATTATAGGCCGCGCCTTAGCTCAAGCGGTTAGTCGCTGGCTTCCCACCGCGACGGCCCGGTTTCGATCCCGGATTAGGTCAAGTGGGACTTGTGGTGGACAAAGTGGCGCTGGGGCAGGTTTTCTCCGAGTACTTCGGTTTCCCCTGCCAGTCTTCATTCCACCAATTGCTCCACAATTACCCTCACCTATCATCTGGGGCTGGTACAATAGGCCAGAAGTTGCCGCAGTATAAGGGACTTAGTCCCACCCCACTAGCAATAAAAAAAGAAAGTTGCATTCATTCATTCATTCACCAGTAATCTGTCAAGATTTTATAAGAATTTTTCTTCTTTAGTATAAGAATTACCAGTATATTTATTCGTTTTTATTTTCAAAGATTGTGAACTGTGTCATGAGAAGCTTNACTTCCGGCATCAGTTTTGGGTTTTTGGTGTGTCTCTTTGTCTGATGCCTACGCTTTGACCTGTCCAGCAAGGGAGGCCCTGCCAGTAGCTACGCTACCGCTGGTATAGCTCTCAGGGTCCTTGGCATACTCAAACCCCGTCACCACGATAAGGTGGAGACACCAACGAGGGGAAGTTGCATTATAGATATATTATATGAAATAAATGATACATTAATACAACAGAATATTTAAATATAATATTACGCAGAGCGTATATAAATTTCAGGACTTGTGCCCGTTTATACCGTTGTGTTTGGGATTGAAGGACTATATCTGAGACATTCCGTGCTTCATGCAGGATACATTTGATGGCGGAATTGCTAATTTTGAGCATTCCTTTGTTTTCAGTTTTGTTGTAGGGAACAATAGAAGAGATGGATGTGTTCGAATAATTTGCGCGTTTACTGGAAAGTAGGAAGTCCGCTCATGTAATAACTGCTATGCCGCTTCTTGCGGTTTCTAGTACAAACATTCCCTGCGTGGAGGTGTCTGCCCAGGCAGGAAGATGCAAAACAGCTGAGAACCTAGATGGAAAATATGACGTCCAAGTAGGAGAGACAGCGATTCGAATTTCTGGATTGTAGGCATCGGAGCTATGCAAGACATGCAGAAATGGACGCCATTGCAACAACACGTGTGTGTTTTCATGTCACTTGCCATTTCTTCCTTCACAAACAACCATTTAAATTAGGGCGAGAGAATTGTATGTATATATTTTTCTCTACTTTCTAATCCCATGGCCTTCCGCATCTGCACAACTTACGTGACCTGTTTTTTCTCATAAGCCCTTAGTTCTCAGAATTTCTCATCGCAGTAGCCAGCAGCTCGGTCCGTGAAATCACGAATATTGCCAGGAAGAGTTCTTCTTTTACGTTAGCTCCAGTACCATCTGCTTGGAAAACAATGAGAAATTATTTCTGCATATGCTTCTTTCTGTGTGCATTATTATACAACATTTTTAGTAGAAAGCTATCCCTGTAAGAGACCGTGGAGGCCCATAGGACTGTGAGACGTCGGGGCTCCCATATTTTCTAGACAGTCGGCTCACAGATGGCGGTAAGGTCAGCCTTACACACCGGCCGCCTTTTACAAATAGGAAGATTCCTGATTCT